AAAAAAAAAAAAGGTTGAACGACAAAATTGACATATGGGTCAAATTATGGCCGCAATCTATTTCGTAGTTGGAATGATTTTTTTTAATTTATGTAGCGTTTGTCCTGGAAAGATCACAACAAAATTTACGAGTACTTCAATTTTCAGGTTTTTTCACGCATTCTTCTGAGTGCGAAAACTCACTGAATTTTTTTAGTTGGCCCATGCATGGCTGAGTAGCAAAAATGGAAAATGTGTTGAATCGGCGCGACAATTATTTCGCAGTCTAAATTATTTTTTGTTTCTATTATTATTTATGGAAAGAACACGACCTCATCTATGGATTATCAAAATTTCAGATTTTTGTGCATGTTCGCCTGAGCGCAGAAAATCGCCAAAGTTGCCTCTTGCAAAACGCCTATTTCGTTGTGCCTGACCTCCCTGTTTTGAGAAGACGGGGCTCAACGCCTGGGCCTGAGGGCCCTTTTGCAGATCACATGCCCTCACTTGTTTTTGGGATCCGCTTCTACCCGAGGACCGGTCCAATGCCCCCACTTCTTTTTGGGGTCCACTTCCACCCGAGGACCGGTCCTTCGTTTTTCCAAAAGTCCTGGTTCTGCCGGTGCTAGCTGTAGGTAGTCCGCAATTTTGCCAAGGACCGGTCCCCCAAATGTTTTTGCCCCCGAAAAACCCACTTGCGTCCTGGTCGCCCGCCGCCAAAAATGCGACACCTTGACACAGACGCCGAAGCCCACTATACCGCAGCCTAAGGGCTGCGAATTGGAATACAAGAGTTTTTTCTTTTCGAAATCTGAATAGAAAGGGTACACGGTGTATTCGAATACGATTTCTATTCGAAGTCCTCTGCTATTCGAGAAAAGTGCACCCACACCGTTTCAATTTCGAAAAAGGCTTAAGGACCGCGGCCTCCTCGGCCTCCTAGGGGCAGCTACCGGTCGTACGCGGTCCTGGCCCTTGCAAGGCCCCAAAACCTCAAAATGCCCACCCTCCTGACGACCACCGACGTTGAAATTTGATTGATGTTGAAATGTCTCAGGGGAGGAAAGCGCAACCCTGACGGGCTGCGAACAAGATGGTCCCCACGAAGGCTGGATTGGCGAGTTCATGGCTCCAGCGGTGCCATCAGCTCCACCAGCCCTCGAAGGCCTGGAGTGGTCCCTCAGCAGGCAGGTGCTGCTACCGGTAGGGTGCCAGCGAACCACCACTCCCCCTGAGCAACAACCAAGACAATGTCCTGGCACCAGGACGAGATGGCCCCCACGAAGAGGCCGCATGGGAGGCCAGTTCTTGGCTCCACGGGTGCTGTGAGGACGCAAGTAAACCACCACCGCTCCTGCCGAGGGACCAGGACAATGTTCTGGCCCCAGGACGAGATGGTCCTCACGAAGGCCTGGTGGGCCAGTTCTCGCCTCGGCTCCAGTGGTGCTATCAGCTCCATCAGCGGTCGGAAGGGCTTGGCGCTACGAGTCTTCGTGACATTTCATTTCATATCGTAACTGTACGGACCCGATACGCAGATGTTTTGAGGTGGTGAGCGCCACCACATCTTGAAGCAGTTCGTCAATTTCCCTGGCAGAGGGAAACTCGTGGGGACGGCGAGCGGGGGCTTTCGCCGTGGTGCTGGGCGCGCAAGCTGCTGGCGTGGCTGCTGAAGTGGCGGGCTGCGTGAGCTGTAGTTCGATTGTCGGCGCGCAGTCGCCCTCTTGTTCGTTCGTTCGTTCGCTCGTTCGCTCGCCATGGGGAAAATGCCCGTGCGCCTGAAGGAGGTGGTCTACACTCTCTCCCCTTTCGAGCAGAAGATTATGTCCGGGTTGTGGAAGGATGCGGGGTACAAACTGCAGAAGAAGGTCACCGACAACTGGGTCAATGCGATCTTCCTCCTAGGGCCAGTCCTGGGGACCACATGGTACGCGCAGAACTTCAAGGAAAATGAAAAGCTGCATCACAGATTTTAAATGGTTGCGGTCGGTCTATCAATTATGGGCCAACCGTTCCATCTCCTTTGGGTGCTTCTTCTTCTTCTTGAGATTCTTCTTCTTCTTCACCTTCCTCCTCCAGCAACGTGAATGAAGGATCAAAAGCGCGGGAAGGATGGGACGACATGTCCTTTATGGTGAGGATGGCGATGGTGAGAATGCGAGTGATGTCGATAACGACGATGGTCCGAGGTGGGAACTGCATGCCACGTGGCGACGAACACGCCACGTGGCAGCCGCGACATGATGGTCTCCTGGTCCGGCTCGGGTGTTCACGGCGCCCATGGCATGTCTTCGTGTGAGGTCGGTGGTTATTTCGCAGGAGGGGGGGGGGGTAGTATCTTGCACGGGCTGATAGGGGGGGGGGGGGGGGGGGGGGACAAAGGGCAGGAAGAGGCGCTCGGGCGGTAGGTGCTTCGAGTCGCGGGGTCCCTAGGTGCTTGGGGGGGGGGGGGGGGGGGGGGGTGGGGCGAGTTGAGGGTAGGAGATAGCGGTTGTGGCAGGAAGGCGAGGACACGTGTCCGTTGACACGCGGACGGATGAGGGGAGCGAGTGCGAGTACATGTACACGTGGCATCGTGGATTGTTCTGACCTGGCATGGTGGATTGTCCGTACATGGACACGCGTTCATTGGCGGAAGTCGAGGAGCATCATGGATTGTTCTTTTCTTACCTGACGCGCGAGTGCGAGCACGCGTGCACGTGGCATGTATATCTGCAGATGCACATGATTTCTGCGTCTGCCATGCACAGGATCCTAAATTGGAACGGGTTTTGTAATTGAACATTGAAAAAGCAATCCTGTGACGGAGTTCCGTGTGGTCTTACTCACTATGCACCTGCGTCAGCGCGCCGTGGGAGTTCGTCTGTTCGTGTGTTTTTATGTGTTTCGTGTCTTTTTTGTATATAAGAGAGAGAGAGAGAGAGAGAGAGAGAGAGAGAGAGAGAGAGAGAGAGAGAGAGAGAGAGAGAGAGAGGGGTGAGCGCGCCGTGTTAGTGCGCGAGCGAGTGTGTGTGTGTGTTTTTTTTTTTTTTTTTTTTTTTTTTTTTTTTTTTTTTTGTTTCTTTGTTTCTTTTTGTGTCTCTGTCTGTGTGTGTGTGTGTGTGTGTGAGAGAGAGAGAGAGAGAGAGAGAGAGAGAGAGAGAGAGAGAGAGAGAGGGGTATTTTATCCTAGCTAGTCAATGAATGGGGGTTTGTTTTTGTTTTGAGAGGTTTTGCCAATCTTTTTTTTTTTTTTTTTTTTTTTGTTTCTTTGGTTAGTAAGCTACATTATTCTCTCAATTTCACCTCAGGCTACCTACCTACCTATATACCACTTCTCCTAATTATAGTCCAACGGGGAACCCCGTAGCAGCTTGACGCAGCCATTCTATACCCAATTAACCTTTTTTGTGTAATACATGAAGGGCTATATCGTTTCCTTTGGGACATCCAATAAAAGTGGAACGATACAGAGAAGAAAGTTTAGCATGGCCCCTGTGCGCAAGGATGACACGCATAAATCGAGAAACGTTTTTTTTTTTTTTAATTCTTATTTAGAGGGCTACATCGCAAAAAAAAGAGCATTATCTAGCTGCGATATTAGGGCCAGGGAAGAGACCTCTGTGTCTTTTACTGTCATATAAATCATTCATTGAGTGTGACGATATTAGTTTTTTTTTTTTAATTTACTTGGTCGTTTTACTATTTTATTGTTATTTTGTAATTTAATATTCTCTTGTGATAATATTGTTAATCATTCATGTTATAAACTCCGACGAAACAGTTTGTCACAGCCACTCGTTTGTTGTCCTCTTCTCTCTCTCTGCCTACGTTTTACCGGGCAGTTCTATTTGTGACGATATATTTGTTTTTTTTAAATTCACTTGGTCGTGTTATTCAAATTATTGTTATTTTGTAATGTAATATTTTCTTGTGATAATATTGTTAATCATTCTTTTTTTTTTTGTGGTCTTTCATCGTTACGATATATATTTTTTATGTTGTTAACTTGTTATTTTATTAGTCTGTTTTGCCTTTGTTGTTTCTTTATCGTTGTTCTCCATTATTCTTTTTTCATTATCGTTATTCTATCGTTAAAAAAAAAATGAATTGTAAAAAACAAAAAAGTGAAGGGCGATGTCGCGCTTGACGAAATATTATTATCTTTGCTACCTCAGCGCAATTGCAACATCGCCCTTCACTTCCCCCCCCCCCTTTATATGTTTTCCTTTTCTACATTTCATTGCTTTTGATTATTTGATTGTTTGATTGTTTTTTTTTATTGTATAAAATCTAATATATCGAATACATCGCGGCGCAGCCCTCTTACAATAATAATGCTGCTTTTCCCGCCTTCCTCACCTATGCTGCTTTTTCCCGTCTTGCTCACCTGCCTGCCTGTTTCCATCTCCTCCTAGCATATAAATGCCCGAATTTTTGTGAGCCATTTTTTTTTGCTTTTATTTTATCTGGCCTGACAAAATCTTGTGAGTTTTTTTTTTTTTTCTTTCACTGCGTGTACTATGTATGAAACGGTATGCCGCAGTCAAGAGAAAAAAAAGGCTACACCGATATTCCCCGCTTTTCTGTGAAAGTCGAAATTGTGAAACTTGTCTGGCCTTTCAGAGAAGACGATCGAAAGAATAAAAGAACTGCCCGCGGCCCCCCCCCCCCCCCCACCCCCCCCCCCCCAACCTTCCCTCCTCCACTCCCCCCATTCCTCCCCTGACCCCCCGTCCACCCTTTCCCGATCTCCAGCCCTAAGTAAAGAAAAAGTACTACCGTTTCTTAATTTATGCGTGTCATGATGAAAATAGGAGAAAAATAAAAAAATCCTTACGCAGGGGCCATGCTAATCTATCGTAGATAGTCGTATGTAGTTTTCAATTTTGAGTTTTTAATTTTAATTTTTGTTTTCCATGTGTAGTTTTGAGATAACTATGCTGCAATGTTTGCGTCTTGTATGAATGGTAGGTAATCAGTGTCGTCTCGGCGAGAGAGGTAATTCGTTCGAGAAGGTAAGGGTACTACGTGTTTAAGATCACCCAACGACGTTTGTCAGGGTGAAGGAAGAAGCAGAATCTGCGCAATCATCAAGAATCAAAGACGCCAGTCGGTTAGTCAATGCGCCCATCAATTCATCGAAGCTTTATCCTTTCGTCCGTCGCAGTCCATTCCACCCACCAATCGCATGAAACTGTTCTTTCCATCCATCCCATGCATCCAAACATCCCTTCCATCCATCCACCAATCTCATCCATCCATCGATCCAGGAATCCCATCCAGCAATCCCATCCATCCATCCGATCCATCTCATGCATCCGGTAGTATCATCCATCCATCCACCCATCATCCATCCATCCATCCATCCATCCACCAATCTCATCCACCAATCCCTTCCATCCCTTACATCCAGTAATATCATCCATCCATCCATCCACCAATCCATTAATATCATCCATCCACCAATTCCTTCCACCAATTCCATCCACCAATCCCGTCCATCCCATGCATCCAGTAATATCATCCATCCATCCATCCATAAATCCACCAATCCAATCCATCCATCCACCAATTCCATCCACCAATCCCGTGCATCCCATGCATCCACTAATCTCATTCATCCATCCATCCACCAATATCATACACCGATTCCATCCACCAATCCCATCCATCCATGCGATCCATCCCATGCATCCACTAGTCTCATCCATCCATCCACCATTCTCATCCATCCATCCATCCATCCATCCCATCCATTCATCCACCAATCGCAGTCATCCATCCATCCCATCCATTCATCCACCAATCGCAATCATCCATCCATCCATCGATCCATCCACCAATCACATCCATCAATCCTCTATCCCCTAATTCCAGTCATACATGACGTCCATTTACCAATGCCATCCATCCATCCCATCCATCCCTACTCTACATCCCATCCATCGCTAATCGACGACGTCCATGGTTTCCCAGTTCAGCAATCTGTACGTTTGATCAATTGATCAACGAAAATATTAAGCGAATGAATCGACGATTCAACCGATTGAGAAAAAATCACAGTCACCTAATCAATCAATCAACCAATCAAAATTAGAATGGGTGGATATCAATGCGCTAATGACTTCGTCAATCATCGAACATTTTCCCTTTGCCACTTAAATCCCAATTAATGAACCAATCATGCAATAGTGCAATCAAGGGTACGAACATTCATTCATTCAGCAACGTTTCGTTCTCAACACAACTCGAAACAAACATGTGACGAGGGCAGCCCAACTTCGGTGGGTCCACATATCGTCATCGCTAGAGAGCAGAACAGGGGCCATCTCTGTAGTTTTAACTATATGTATATATCTATAGATTCTATACATGTATATATGAGGGTTTAGCCTCCTGATGAGTCAGTCGGTGAAACTCCGACGAAACAGTATTGCCACAGCCTCTCGCTTGTTGTCCTCTTCTCCCTCTCTGCCTACGGTTTACCGGGCAGCTCTGTTTGGCGATATATATAGGTATATGTATACGATGTCTATTTATCAATGACTAGAACTCAGTCCTGTGAAAAACTCGTTACTGACATTAATTACCTGTGGAAGAGCTAGTGCGCGTGAACTGCGTCCCTCACCGCTTTTTTTCCTTTGTTTGTCCCCCTCTGTCCTTTCCTCTCCCCTCCTCTTCCCCTCCTTCCCCCACCTCCTTCCCCCTGTCTTGCTTTCTTTTTTCTGAAGAAATACGTCCTTTCCTCTCCCCTCCTCTTCCCCCCTTCTTCCCCCACCTCCTTCCCCCTGTTTTGCTTTCTTTTTTCTGAAGAAATACGCGTGATGTCGTCGTCACAGGCATCGGCGGCGCCTTCTTCCCTTCTCCTCCATCTCGTCAAAACAGTTGGGGGGGGAATTCAAATTCAGTCAATCGCTAGGTGTGTTGCTAGTAGGCGCGACTCGATATGTATTTGTGCGTCTGTCTTTGAGTGTTTATGCACGTACGCATCCTCCCTGCATGCACATGCACGTACGCATCCTCCCTGCATGCACATGCACATACGCATCCGGCCTGCATGCACATGGACGTACGCATGAATAGATGTACGCGTACGTTCATGAAAACCTGGTGTTTTTTAAGAACACGAGAAAGAAAAGAAACAAGCGGGAACAGGGTGCCATTAGGGTCTCCACGTTGCTCGCCTACTCTTTCTGTTTTTCCGTCGGTTTATGCTTGTGCGTTTGCATGCATGCATGCAGTGTACGTGGATGCGAATAGTCATGTCACAGTGGGCAAATTTCTGTGCTTGTGCACGCTGTTTAAAGCGTATGGGCTCTCGTATCTGCTGCTGTGCCTTTGTGTTTGTGTGTGTGTGTGTGTGTGTGTGCACGTGCGTGCGTAAATGCGCATTTATGTGTACGAATACCATCATGTATGTTTTAGGCCTAGGTAGGTATACGCTCTGTCGTTAGGTCTAGTGAAAAACACACGTGCCAAAGAACCCCACCCCCCAAGCGAGGAACGGAACAATCATCAAGATAGAGCGAGAGAGAACATGTTCAGGTTCTATTGGCAATAACTCAACTTAGATATGAATGGTGTGCTATAGACTGTGGCAGGGTGGATGTGGGTAGAAGTGTTTGGTGAACGAAAAATGATTTTGCCTAAACAAATAAAAAGGATAGGCAAAAATAAACTAGTTTGGACTATAGGGTGCTTCCACAGGTTGACATCCAATCCAGCCTAAAAGTAAACAATCTGCCACAAGTAACCAAAAAAGTTTTTGATGAATGGGTCTAAAAGAAGTTCCGGTTCTAACCCACAGCAACCTGGGTACTGAGGACAGACGATTGAGTTTTGACCGTTACAAGCCGGAGAGAGAGAGAGAGAGAGAGAGAGAGAGAGAGAGAGAGAGAGAGAGAGAGAGAGAGAGAGAGAGAGAGAGAGAGAGAGAGAGAGAGAGNAGAGAGAGAGAGAGAGAGAGAGAGAGAGAGAGAGAGAGAGAGAGAGAGAGAGAGAGAGAGAGAGAGAGTGACGAATCATCTCTGTTTGAACAAGTGAATCCGTTCTTCTCAGCCCTCGACAAAACCACAAGGAAGTTATGATGAAGAGCATGGATGAAGAGCGTGTAGAGAGGGATGAGTACAGCATAGTAGAGGATAGGCCTGAACATCATGACATGAACAAGGAGGAGGAGGAGGACGGAGGGAGGGAAGAGCTGTGGAGAGGAGTTGTGACTTGCATTCCAATCAGTCTTTTTGACCCTCTCAGCTCCCGAGAAGAAGATGATGGGAAGAAAGGAGGACTTGTTCGCAGATCGGTTTTGTGTCTTTCGCCGCTTGCCGAACCTAGGACCGCGGTCCACTACTCTCCACATGCTCAAAAGCCAAAATATGGCGGTGTATAGTTCCATGTTCTAGCGGAAGATTAATTCCCATTTTGTACATTTGGAGAGTAGTGGAGCGAGGGCCCTATTGAGAAAGCTGCTAAAGAACAGGGAGGATGGGTAGCTTCAAAAATCGTCGTTCCAAGCCGTGCCCCGAAGAAAAAGTACAAGCAGGTTAAAATCCTGATGGGGAGGCCTGTGGGTGGAAGAGGAGGGGCAGAGGGATCGGCGAACAACCGAACCCTTGGAACCTCGACCTTCCACCATGACTGATGGGATAAACTATGCCTTCACCATATCACTACAGTCACCTGTAAGTACTTTTCGTATGGTACACTGGGCCCGGTTCCCAGCACGTGCTACTCCCCACAAATAGAGTGGAGCTCTATTCTCTCAAAAACAACAAAACAACAGAAGGATGCTCCTCTCATATCTATACCTTGCCACGGTGTATATCACTATTATCACACCACAAATGGCCCGAAGAAAAAGTACAGGCAGGTTAAAATCCTCCTGGAGAGGCCGGTGGAAGAGGAGGGGCAGAGGGATGAGAAGAGGGGATGGGCATCAAAATCTGCCCTGCCAATTCTTTATCTCTTCTCCTCCACCGTGTCAGACGAGTAATCTCTGACCTCATTACTTCACTATCCAACATGGCAAACAGTCTTCTTTTTTTGCAGTATGGCTTCCATGATATTAGGAGCATTAGCCGCAATGGCGCAAAACAAAGAACAATTGAGGTACCGGGGCCCGGTTCTGAGAGGAGCAACCTGGTGGTTACCGAGGACGGGCGATTCAGTAACTAAAACCGCCTCTCACTCTTCTCTYCTGATGGCTCTGGTTTACTGAGGACGGGTGGTTACTGAGGATGGGCGATTCAGTAACTAAAACCACCTCTMACTCTTCTCTTCTGATGGCTCTGGTTTACTGAGGACGGGTGGTTACTGAGGACGGGCGATTCAGTAACTAAAACCACCTCTCACTCTTCTCTTCTGATGGCTCTGGTTTACTGAGGACGGGTGGTTACTGAGGACGGGCGATTCAGTAACTAAAACTGCCTTGATGGATCTGGTTGACTGAGGACGGGTGGTTACTGAGGACGGGCGATTCAGTAACTAAAACCGCCTCGCGCTTCTCTTCTGATGGATCTGGTGTACAAGGGGCCTGCCCTTTTCCAGTTGCTTCATTGTGGACTGAAGACGGCCAAAAATTTTCACTTTTTCGTTTTTGTGTGGAGCATTTCTCAATTTGTGCATGCCACCCTTGAGCACGCAGCAGCAGCAGCAGCAGCAGCAGCAGCAGCAGCAGCAGCAGCAGCAGCGATGCTAATTGTCTGTGTATTTGTGTTCCTATTTCAATTTTTTTGAACAGATGCTACTGTAGTCCCTCCTCCCACCCCAAAGGAGACGCTGTTTTTTTGTCTCTCTCTCTTGGGGTAGGCTGTTTATTCCGGGTCTTCTCCTGAGGGTCGTTCAGGCTGGGGTTGGAAGGCGCCATGGCTATGACAAAACTATACACTCTGAGAGTCTGAACGTTTTGGTGAAAAGGAAATGGAAGCCCAGGCTGTTGTTAGAGGGCTTGGGTTGGAAGGTGCCATTGCCAGAACAAAGCTATACTCTCTGTACGTTTTGGCGACAAGTCTTGTTGAGAGCATCCGTACCCTGTGCGGCTACCTACCTGTGTGAATCTGCCCGTCAAGGCGGTGGCACGGACCAGAAAGAGTGGTGGCTTCACCAACGGGCCTATATCTCAGTCGGTAGACTCCTGAACTGTTGTTGGAATAGGGACTGAAGTTCGAATCCAGATACCTTCCGATGAAGAGAAGAAATTAATGTTCTGAATTGCCTGCGGCCAGTCAGTTCAATCATCAATGATGATATCTAAAGGCAGTCGCCCTTTTTTTGAGGAGGAGAGGGGGGGGGGAGGAAGGAAAAGGGACTGGGGGCTCCGCAGAAAGGTTCAGGTTACGGGACTAAAAGGCTGGCAGTGCAGGTAGGCCATTGCCCATGACTGTTGGGAATTCTAGCGGGTGGGCAAAACCGCTTATGAGAGAAAAGAGAATGGGAGGTGCTGGTGGAGACGCGGAGGCTGTGGTCAGGCTCTGCCTACTGCTGTAAAGAAAAGAGCATCAGCAGATGCCTGAACTGTGGTGATTTCTAATTTTCATCCCTTTTCAGGAGAGATTTCGAAAAAAAAATGATGGGATGTAAGACAGGTTCCGCTCTGTCTGGGGAAAAGAAAGAAAAAAATCCATGCGAAGAACCTAATCTTTTTTTTGTTTTTTTTTGAAAAACAACCCAAGTGGATGCTAGAGGTGCTGATAAGAGCAGACACCACTAGCATGGTCGGGGAGGCTCCATCTATTGGTGGGGAGAGGCAACTGCTGGAAATCGGGTCCAGCGTCCCTCAACACTTGTAACCAGGTGATCCGTAAACCACCCGAATTCATATCAATGTGCCACGTGTCCATCCAACGAAATGCAAACGTAATCAACCGAAACGGCTCGCTGGCGCACTCAATCATATGATGAGCAGCATTGATTGCCCTCAACCGAGGGGATTAACTGCGCATCGTAGTCAAAACGAAATTCCTACTCCGAAACCCTCATCGTCCGCTTAACAAAACGTTCGCAGCACCATGAAATGAAAGGGAGAGGTAGATCAGCTATTATGGCTAATTCCGAGGTCGTCACGAAGTTACTCTCACAGGACATTCGGAAATTGCCATATCCCCCCACAATCCTAGTCAGAGGTTAAGCCAAAAGCTCTTACTCCGTCACAAGAAGGAGAGACACTAAAATCGAAGTCAGATTACCTACAACGGCCTCCCCCCACAATCCTCACAATCCATGAGGCCGCACAAAGTGGGGAGCATCAAAACAATTAAAGTGCTGTCCTCCCTATCCCACCCCTTCACGCCACCATCCCGCACCCCACATCCCCGCGTCACCTTCCTGCTCATCAAACATTCCCATCACCCACCTCTCTCGCCCCTGGCCCCAATCATTCCCCAAAGCAGACAAGAGGGGAAGCAGGATGGCAAGGGGAGAGAGGGGGGAGGAAAAAAAAACCAGCGAATCACACTCACTTCTCCACAAATGTCTGCGCCAGTTTTGTTGTTGTTGTTGCAGGTTTTGTCATTGCATACCGTATCGTTGTTGTTGTTGTTGTTGTTGTTGTTGTTGTTGTTGTTGTTGTTTGTATCATCAAGAGCATCATCGATCCTGGCCGCTTCTCCAACGGCGATGGCGCTGTCCCGAAGGCCGTCCGCGGTATCGTCGTCATCGTCATCATGAAGTCGGTCCTCAAACTCACCACAAAGCCCCTGCCCCTCAAGGGCCTTACAGCTGCGCTGCATCTGCGCATCCGATCGTGGCAGATTCGCGAATTCCACATACGGGGGCGACCCCTCTTCCAGCCCCCATGCATCATGACCGTGCTCAACGGGCTTCTGTTGCTGAACACAACCTGGAATACTCGATGATGTCGCTGCTATGGATAGTGGTGTCATTATTATGGCTGTTGTAATTGGCAATATGGCCGTAACGGCCTCTGTTGGTGCGGTCGGTGTCGGTGCTGTTGTTGCTATTGTTGATGATATTGATGTTATTGATGATGTTGTTGATGATGTTGCTGCTGTCGATGCTGTCCATGTCATGGTGTCTGTCGGACCACTCGCGTGTCTCCTCGCTAGAAGGCCAGCAAACATATCTTTGACCTGCTGCATCATCCCAGCACAGTCGTGGAGAGCAGTAATGGCCCACGCTCTGTCGATCGCATCCCGCTGTCGAAGGGAGATCTGCTCATAAAGTTCCTCCTCCCACCCATCGTAGATCTCCACACCCTCCAACAGAACGTCACATGGCAGATCGCCATGCTCTTGACACAGCGCAGCATACATCTCCTCCAGCTGCTGTTTGTAGATGATCACAATCGACAGCGCGGACACTTCCTCCTCAGTCTGCAGGTCAAGAGGGGTTCCCCGCAGCCCCCCTTGAGGCAAAGTCTCGATGCCCTCCCCCATCATTGCTGTTGATATTGAAAGCTGCCGCCACTATGCGTCAACGTGTCACCAGTTCCACGGCCGGCGTCACCCTTGTCAGCGCGCCGCGGGACACCTACGTCGCGAACAACAGGCACCACGTGGCAAAACACCACGCGCGTCTGCCAGGGCGCGCGTACAGGCCCAGCGCCCGAAGGACCCTCCCCCAGGCACTAGTTGAGCCGGCAGACCGGGCCTTGCTGGACTGGCGGCGACGGGGCGCTAGCGCTAGTGCAGCATACCGCGAAGAACCTAATCTTACATCCCATCATTTTGTTTTTTTTTTAAATTTCACGCACAGACTGTAGGCTTATGGTTGCCTGTTCTTGCTGCGACGCAGCAGGGATGACCATTGGGGCTGGGAAGGCTACCGTCTTCACCCTAAACAGGAACTTGTAGCTTTATTTTTGGGGCCAATTTGCATACTAGAAACAGCCACAACGACTGTGCATTCTACATTCAGGGGGAAAGCGCTAGGGTGTGTGTGAATATAATATAGCGTTATATTTGGGGCCAATTTGAACCCTAGAAACAGCCACAACAACCGTGCATTCTACATCCAGGGGGAAAGCGTTATGGTGTGTGTGAAGTCAAATTTGACAGAACAGGAGCTGTCAGTTGGCGCTTTAAACCGCCAGTTCCTGGACTACCGTCCTCACCCCAAATACAACGCCCAGTCAGTATAGCTGTATTTGAGGCAGCTTTCAGAGTACGTTAGATTCAGCGATATTGACTAGGCGTTCTATTTGGGTGAAGACGGAAAGAACTGCTGGTTATAGCAATAAAGAACTGCTCGTCTGTTGGTTGGGTGAAATGAACGCACCCACCGGCGAGCCTAGCTCAGCTGGTACACCCATGAACTGTTGAATTACAGACCCAAGTTCGAATCCCGATGTCTGTTCAGATGAGCAAAATGAAATAACTATGAAATTACCTGGGGCTGGTCAGCTCAATGATGATCCTTCAAGGCTGTTGCCCTGTTAGAAAAGAGAGTAAAGGAGGAGGAAAAAGAAGGGAAGAAAAGGAGGGAAAAATAAGAACAAAACATGAACCCACCTGATCTACGCAAAGGGTAGTTGGAGGGCCTTCCAAGCTGATAGAGTGGTATGTATAGGTCCTATTAACATAACCCCAACCACCCCAAACCATCAAAATCTGGGGGGGTTGTTGGGTGAAATAACGCCACCTATTCTAGCTAGCTAGCCTATTAAACTGACCGTTGAAGTTGTTCATCCTGCAGAGCTTTGAGAACCGGTTATTTGAGGGGACTTGTGCATGAGGGGGGACCTCTACAGGTGTGGCATATTGCACAGCCACACGGGCCTGCAGGGCCCGATCAGACAGAAAATAAGGGCCCTACATGCCCTGTGTCGTTTCAGCCTAAAAGCCTGAAAACGAGGGCCATTTTCAGGCCCTCATAAAGTCGACCTGCCCTGAAACTCAGGCGCCAGACCAGGGTTTCGCACAAGCCATTTTTGGACCTGTTTCAAGACAACCTTTGTTTGAACTTCAATGCCAGGGTCTGGCGCATTTCAGCATTGGCAAGAGCAGCCTCCCGGACAGGCCAGCACTATATAGAACTGGCCCGCCCTGCCGGCTGCAGGTAGTTCATAGGAACTGCCCAGGCAGTTCACAGGCGCTTCACGTCCAGGAGGCAGGAGGCAGTCTTCAGGATTCGGCAGCAGCACTCTGGAGGAACACTGCAGTAGTAGTAGTAGCGTTAGGAGTAGTCTTCAGCTCTGGGCGCTATTAGGAAGAGAGAGAGAGAGAGAGAGAGAGAGAGAGAGAGAG